AATGACATCTCGTGCCTTTTTCGTTGGAATATTTGCCGGCAGGTGTCGTAACGGCCTGCGCGTCGACCGTGCGAATGAATGCCAAACAAAGCTACGCACGGCCAAGCAATGCCACAGAACACCAAGCAGTTTCATGTCGGGCAATGCCGCCTTGGCGTTCGAAATGCACGGGCGCCCGGGTTCGTCACGGATTCCTGCGGAATTTTGTGTTGCAAATTTGGGATCCCGAGGCTTTGCCTCCTCCCGGCCTCGTTCTGAGGCTGCGCCCCCCTTTTCCTCCCCGACCTTTGGTTAATTCAAGCTTCGCGCGGCCCGCTTAGCTTCGACCGGGAGAGGTGCGCTCTCGACCCGCGAATCCAAAAAGTGTTGCAAACTTGGGATTCGAGTCGGCTGGGCGTATTTTGTAGGAAGGCGCGGCCTGGAATGACGCTCGGGGTCCCTCGCGTGGCCACCACACGGGCGCGCCCGTGGCCCAAGGCTGCCCGGGGACGCGCAGTGCAAGGCAATGGGGCCGTGTCGTTCCACATAGCTCCTCTCATTTGTCCTCGCTCTCGTCTGGCGTTGCGAGCCATGCCCCTTCTGCCGAGATTTCTGTGCGGAGGCTCCTCGTTGGAGAACCTCTCGGGGGGCTTACGAGTGCCTCTCAAGGGTGTTGGGCCGGGTATAGCCAGAACCCCGGGTAAGGGGACCTCGTTAGTGGTGGGGCCCCGGAGCCCCCAAACTGGCCAGAATGACTAAACCAGGTCTGCCGCAGCTGGTGTTTTCTCGGGCGGGAAAAGTTCCGGTCAGTGGAACGGGGCGGGGGAGGCGCCCCCCAGTACACATCACTAAACCAGGTCCCACTAAACCCAGTTCTGCCAGCGCCCGATTGGGGACACCTGGAGGCTCCTGGGCCCTCTCGCGGCAGTCTCGGGGGTCCTTTCGGAGTCCACTTGAGCCGTCTGCAGGGGTCCCTCTCGGGCCGTGCTGCGGCCTTCGCGGGTCTCTCCCGGGGGAGCCTTTCGGAGCCTCGTGAGATTCTGCTGGGCCGTCCTGTGGCAGTCCTGGGGCCCTCTCAGGGGGCCTCTTCGGCGGGCTTGCGGCGATCTCGGAGGCCTCTTGGGCCGTCGTGAGCGCTGCTGCGACACAAAATGGCGATTCTACTGCAAATGTGCGGTTCCCGTAGGAAACTGGAAGATTTGTGCCTGTTGTTGGGGGCCCTCCTGAAAGCCTCTTGAGGCGTCTTGGGTGCCTCTCGGGTCGTCTTGGGGGCCTCTCCAAGGGTGTTGGAGACACCGGGAGGCTCCTGGACCCTCTCGCGGCCGTCTCGGGGGTCCTTTCGGAGTCCACTTGAGCCGCCTGGGGTCCCTCTCGGGCCGTGCTGCGGCCTTCGCGGGTCTCTCCCGGGGGAGCCTTTCGGAGCCTCGTGAGATTCTGCTGGGCCGTCCTGTGGCAGTCCTGGGGCCCTCTCAGGGGGCCTCTTCGGCGGGCTTGCGGCGATCTCGGAGGCCTCTTGGGCCGTCGTGAGCGCTGCTGCGACACAAAATGGCGATTCTACTGCAAACGTGCGGTTCCCGTAGGAAACTGGAAGATTTCTGCCTGTTGTTGGGGGCCCTCCTGAAAGCCTCTTGAGGCGTTTTGGGTGCCTCTCGGGTCGTCTTGGGGGCCTCGTGGGTAGACCGAGGCCCTCTTGCGCTGCCTTGGGGCTCTCCTGCGCTGTTTCGACCACTTCTCTGATCGCTTTGGGTCTGCTGCGCAAGGCCTGGCAAGGCGCGGCATGGCTGGGGGACCTCTTCGGAGGGCGTCCAGGGAGCCACGAATCCCCAGATCCGGGGGGTGCGGTTTTTCCCCAACCATCCTGTGGTGTTGGGTCCTCGTTTTGAAGAGGCGGTCCCCGCGTTTCCCCTCTCCTCTCCTCTCCTCTCCTCTCCTCTCCTCTCCTCTCCTCTCCTTTCTTTTTCTCCTCCTCCCCCTCCTCCCTCCAATCCCTCCTCCCTCCTCCCGTCACCCTCCTCACTTTGGCACACCCCTCACACGCTTCGTGGCTCCATATGGAGCTCCACCGAAAGCCCCAATGGCTGCGTCCGCATGCGTCCTCCCCGCCCACCGCATGCCAATTTCGGCACATCCCTCACACGTTTCGTGGTCCCATAGGGAGCTCTACCGAAGGCCCCAGTGGCCGCGTCCGCATGCGTCCTCTGCGCCCACCGCATGCCAATTTCGGCACACCTCTCACACGTTTCGTGGCCCCACGTGGAGCTCTGGTCCCAATAGCGCAGTTCGCATGCGTCTCCCCACCCAGTACAGCGTTTCGTGGCCCAAAAGGGAGATCAACCGGAGGTCCCAGTGGCGCAGTTCGCATGCGTCTCTTCCACCCATTACAGCGCTTCGTGGCCCCAGAGGGAGCTCCACCGAAGGCGATACCCACAACTGCGGTATTCACACATCCACCACATGGTTGGGTCCTTAATTCTGTGGGGGGCGATCTTTCCCCCCCCCCGGCTTGTAACAAGCTTAGGAAGAGAAAATCACAAGATTGCATTGGAGTTTCGCGCCATGCACCTTGGTCTTTGATCATGCAGGCGGAAAGACAGGAAGGTAAAGCGTAGAATTGAACGACAGTTTCTGTTTGTTGTTTCTGGCATCGTCGTTGTACTGATACTATCCGTTATCCTTCCCTCATGTTTCCTCTTCCTCTTCCGCACTCTCGGCCTACCTGCGAATTCGCCTCCATCCTCAGCTCTTGTTGCGGAGCCTCTCCTTAGAGAGCCTCTTGGGGGCCTCGCGACAGTTTTCAAGGGCTTCTTAGGGCCTTCTGGCGGCCTCCTGGGTCCTTCTGGGGGCCTTCCTCGGGCCACCCTGCTTCCAAACACGGCCTCCCCGAACGACCAGGGTCCAGGAGTGCTTCGGGCGACATTTTGGGGCCCGTCCCCCGACGTTATGACTTTTTCACGGCGCCGACCCCCAGAGGTCTCGATCTACTCCCCGGGACCAGTTTTTCATCCTGAGTTTGTGTTTTGACGGTTCCGAGGCCCCGCAAGGGCCCCCAGAGGCAGAAAATTATAAAAAGCCTCCCGTCATTCCCAACCATCCTGTGGTGTTGGGTCCTCGTTTTGAAGAGACAGCGCCGCGCGTTCCTCTCCTTCCTTCCTCCTCCCCCTCCCTCCTCCCAGCATCATCATCGCGCTCATCAGCACGATCATCATAATGATCACCACCATCTTCATCGTCGCCGTCATCACACCATCATCGACATCACGATCATCATCATCACCATCAACATAACCAGCATCATCATAATCATCACCACCACCACCACCATCATCATCATCATCATCATCATGATCCTCATCATTATCGTCATCGTTATCGTCATCGTCATCAGCATCATCATCATCATCATCATCATCATCATCATCATCATCATCATCGTCATCATCATCATCGTCATCATCATCATCAGCGTCATCGTCATCGTCATCATCATGGCCATCGGCGTCATCGTCACCATCATTTTCACCATCATCGGCGTCATCATCACCATCATCGTCACCAGCTTCGGCACACCCCCCACACGTTTCGTGGCCCCATTGGGAGCTCCATGGAAGGCCCCAGTGGCTGCGCCCGCATGCCTCCCCACACCCATTTCGGCACACTCCTCACATGTTTCGTGGCCCCACAGGGAGCTCCACCGAAGGCTCCAGTGGCTGCGCCCGCATGCCACCCCACACTCATTTCGGCACATCCCTCACACGTTTCGTGGCCCCATAGGGAGCTCCACCAAAGGCCCCAGTGGCTGTGCCCGCACGCCTCTCCTACCATTGATTTCGGCACACCTATCACACGTTTCGTGCCCCCACAGGGAGCTCCACCGAAGGCCCCCAGTGGCAGCGCCCGCATGCTTCCCCCACCAGCGTTTCCGGCAAACCCCTCACACGTTTCGTGGCCCCATAGGGAGTTTCACCGAAGGCCCCAGTGGCTGCGCCCGCATGCCTCCCCCGCACCCATGTCGGCACACCCCTCACACGTTTCGTGGCCCCATAGGGAGTTGCATCGAAGGCCCCAGTGGCCGCGTCCGCATGCCTCCCCCGCACCCATGTCGGCACACCCCTCACACGTTTCGTGGCTCCATAAGGAGTTCCATCGAAGGCCCCAGTGGCTGCGCCCGCATGCCTCCCCCACCACCAGATTTGGGCACACCTATCACACGTTTCGTGGTCCCATAGGGAGCTCAACCGAAGGCCCCAGTGGCCGCGCCCGCACGCCTCCCCTATCATTGATTTCGGCACACCCCACGCGTTTCGTGCCCCCACCGAGAGCTCCACCGAAGGCTCCAGTGGCTGCGCCCGCATGCCTCCCCACCATCCATTTCGGCACGTACCTCACACGTTTCGTGGCCCCACAGGGAGCTCCATCGAAGGCCCCAGTGGCGGCGCCCGCCTGCCTCCCCACCACCCATGTCCACACCACTCCTCCGCCAGCCACCTCCTGCCCGCGCTGCTCGGTGCCTCGTCCATGCAGTGGATCGGTGCCCATGAGAAGAGGGGTCATGCATTCATGCATTGCGCTACTCGTGGTTTGCGTGCCCCCCTCCTTCGTCGCATATCCTGCTCGGTACTCGCAGCTGCACATGGTTGGGTCCTCCGCCTCGCTCATGATTTGTTCATTGCTCGAGGGGGTCTGAGGGCCATCTTGGGGCGTCACCGGATTCTCTTTGGGTCAGGGGCTTCCATGAGCCCCGGGAAGCCGGGGGGTCTTCTGCCGAGTCGTCCCGGGCGCGCCCGGGGCCACGGATCCGATGGGGCCCCGTGTTGAGGGGGGGGAATTCCCCACCCCCAGAGGTTGTAGAAACATGGACAGGAGAATACCCATCGGTCGTCGAAAGTAGGTCTTTTTGGGATTCCCAGATTCCAATCTATCCTAAGCGCCTTCACGCTTCAAGAGTCGAGCGGCTTTCCCTCTTCCCTCCTCGGCAGGGGGCGGTCGGAGGCCCAATCCACCTCCAACGCCTTCCTGCCTCATGTCTCGATCGACTTCCTCCGACCGATGGGTACGTGTGTGCTGGCCACCGAGAGCCCGAAGGTAGCCATATCCACCGCCCGCCGGGGTCCCCGAAGCTCGATCTCGCGGGCGGTGCTTGTGGATCCATCCCCGCCTCGCGCCAGCACCGACGACGGCAGGGCGGCGGACGAGCTGCGCACGGCGCCCGGGGAGGGCGAGGCGCGGGCGCTGACCGTTGCGGAGGCCCTCGAGCTGCGCTCGGCGTTCTGCGAGGCCGAGGGGCTGCGGCGAGCGGCGGCGGACGAGCTCGGCGCGGCGCTCGAGGAGGCCGAGGCGCTGAGGCGGAGGGTGGCCGAGTGGGAGGCCAGGCACGCGGCCACGATGGACGACCTCCTGGCCGCGCGGGCCGGTGCGATCGGGGCGGCCACGGAGCGGGGGGCGCTGGAGGCGGAGGCGAGTGAGGCCGTGGCCGCCGCGCGGCGGGAGGCGGCCGCCCTGCGAGAGCGGCTCAGGGCCCGGGACAAGAGCAGCCCCGGGCAGTGCCCAGGGGGGGGGGGAGCCTCACGACCTGCAGGGGGAGCCACCCCGGGGCCTCCCGAGGGTCGCCGCAGGTTCTGGGGTCGAGCTCTCGAGGAGGTGCTCGAGCGCCGGGGGCGTCTCTGTCGACGGGGGGGTGGGCACTGGAGTGTCTGTGTGTGGGGGGGGGCCCGCTTCCTGGAGGAAGTGGCGCTGCCACGAGGAGGTGGCCCGACCCCCCTGGTTGTGGTTGTGACCCCCCTTGGCACTGCCTGGCATCGCGGCCGCGGCAGGGGAGAGCACCCAGGTGCGCGCTGCGCTGGAGGCCGAGCGTGGGGCGCGCGCGGCGGACAGCGCCGCCGCGGAGGAGCAGCTGGCCGCCGAGAGGGCCGCCGCGGCGGCGCAGCTGCGCGCGGTGCTCAGAGATCTGGGCCTCCCGGGATGGAGTCCGAGTGGCTGGTGTCGGAGGATCGCCCCGCATCGCCGCTGCATCGCCGACGTCGGCCCGATGTGGAGCCCGATGCTCTCCACGCCGACGTCGCCGACGCATTTGGCATCGGCGATGCCTCGGCGATGCCTCGGCGATGCCTCGGCGATGCGGCGCGATCCTTCGACCCCTTCCATTCCCACGCCATCTGGGTGGCCTCGCGACCCCTTCCATGCTTCGACCCTTCCATTCCCACGCCATTCTCAGAGAAGGAGAGGCACCGTCGCCACCGCGCGTCCTGGGAGAGCCCTCGTCGCCACGGCTGGATGTCCTCCTCGACGCCCTCGCCCAGGGACTGCTGCTCCAGCGGCATCTCCAGGGGGGCGGCTGCAAATCTGCAGCGCAGCGCACGAAAACGACCGGGCGCAGGCTCGTCGTCTTCCGCCTCGGGGGCTCTCGCGCTGGGCCCCGGGATCGGAGGCGGGCCTGGGGGGGGGGAGGGGGAAGGGGCGGGCCTTCTCGGAAGGCTCGGAAGCCCCCCAGCCCTCCGAGAAGTGCCCCAAGCCTTCCCCAAAGACAGAGGACTTCTCAGAAGGCGAGGGGGTGCTGGCGAGAAGCCCCGCCGCCCTCTGAGAAGGCCTGCTCCGTCTCACTTCCCCCCTCGCTCGCCGCCGATCGCTGTCCCCCCAGACCTCGTTCTCCCCTCAGTCGGACGTGGCCAGGACGAGGACGAACTCGTCCTGGAGCATTCTGGAACGCTCCCAGAGCGCTCCAGAACGCTCTGAGAAGGCCGCGGCGCCTGAGACATTTTCGATATGAAGACGGAGGGGCAGCGAGGGTCGCAGGAAAGGGGCCCTCTATAGGGCCCCGCCCTTTCGGTCCAGGAGGGGGGCCTTTCGGGCCCGAAGAGGGCACCTCTCTTCCCCCCCCATGTCTGTCGCCCCCCCTTGAATTCGCGCCCAGAGTTACCCTCCCCCAGCGCTGCCCTCGCCCTGGCTTCGTCTTGCAGTCAACCCGCATAGTAAGGATGGGCAACCTTCCCAAGGGTACCCCTGCATCCTTGCCCCCTCGGCCCATCCCTGGCCACTCCCGTTGGCCGCGCCCCGCAAAGCCTCGAACGGGCCTTCCGAGGCCCGTGCATCCCCATCGCGCCGCCTTGCCGACTGCGTCGCCCCCCCCCCCCCCCATGAATTCGCGCCCAGCGTTATCCTCCCCCCAGGCGTGTCCTCGTCCTGGCTTCCCGTCTTGCCCATCCAGAGCTCCGATGTCGTGATTTTTTCAATGCGGGATCCCCGGAAGTCTCGACCCATTCCCCAGGACCGGGTTTTCATCCTGAGTCGTTTTGTTGACAGTCCCGGGGCCCGGCGACGGCCGCCAGGAGGCGGAAAAGGGAAACCTCCGTCTTGATTTTATCAATACGTCGGAGGTCTGGGCAGGTGCAGGAGGCGGCGCAGCGCGGTGTGGCGGAGGCCGCCGCCGCGGCGGAGCGCGAGCGGGCAGAGTTCGCCAGCGCGGCGCGGGCGGAGCGGGAGCGCCTGGTGGCCGGGGCGGAGGGCGGGAGGGCCGAGCTGCGGGCGGCGGCGGAGCGGGAGGCGTCGGCCGCGCGCAGAGGGGGCCCCTTAGAAGGAGGCAGAGGGAGGAGGAGGAGGAGGAGGAGGAGGAGGAGGAGGAGGAGGAGGAGGAGGAGGGGGAGGAGGGGGAGGAGGGGGAGGAGGAGAGTGCAATGATGATGAGGATGAGGAGGAGGAGGGTGCAATTATGATGATGATGATGATGATGATGATGATGATGATGATGATGATGATGATGATGATGATGATGATGATGGATGATGATGATGATGATGATGATGATGATGATGATGATGATGATGATGATGATGATGACGATGATGATGTGATGATGATGCTGATGCTGATGATGATGAGGAGGAGGAGGAGGAGGAGGTCGACGAGGAGGAGGAGGAGGAGGAGAAGGAGGAGGAGGAGGAGGAGGATGAGGAGGGTGCAAGGAGAAGGGGGAGGAGGAGGGTGCATGATGATGATGATGAGATGATGATGATGATGATGATGATGATGATGATGATGATGATGATGATGATGATGATGATGATGATGATGATGGTGAGATGATGATGATGATGATGATGATGATGATGATGATGATGATGATGATGATGGTGATGATGATGGTGATGGTGATTGTGATGATGATGATGATGATGATGATGGTGATGGTGATGGTGATGGTGATGGTGATGATGATGATGTTGATGATGATGATGATGATGATGATGATGATGATGATGATGATGATGATGATCTGATGGTGATGGTGATGGTGATGGTGATGGTGATGGTGATGGTGATGGTGAGGAGGAGGAGGAGGATGAGGAGGAGGAGGTGGAGGAGGGAGGAGGAGGAGGTCGGCAAGGAGGAGGAGGAGGAGGAGGAGGAGGAGGAGGAGGAGGAGGAGGTGGTGGAGAAGGGCCGCGCGCGGGGGGAGGGGGGAAACTGGGTCTTGGAAGCACCCCTGTGTCTTAGAAGGCGCGGGCCCTGTCTGTAGATGCAAGGCCCGCGCCTTCTGCGGGGAATTCGTTAGCAAATCATGCGAGTCTGGTATACCATTTGAGTCTCGTTATGGGCGTAGACTAGCGTCGATTAGCGTCTGAGAGTCGATGAGCTGTGCCGATTTAGCGTCCGTCAGCGCCGTTTTGCGTCGACATAGCGTCGATTAGCGTCCACTGGCGTCGGTTTGCGTCGCTTCGCAAGAGCCGACAAGATGGTATGGGATGCTCCCATGAGTTGCCACCGAAGGGGGAGGGGGAACAGCTTCTTAGAGCACGCCTGCTTCTGAGAAGGCGCGGGCGCTGTCTGTGTAGACGTGAGGCCCGCGCCTTCGAAGAAGCAGCCTCCTTCTGAGAAGCCTTCCCCAGGGGGGACGGGTTCCTTAGAAGCCTTAGAAGTACCCCCTGCTTCTTAGAAGGCGCGGGCCCTGTCTGCAGATGCGAGGGCCCGTGCCGTCTAAGGGGCAGCCTCCTTCTCAGAAGCCTTCCCCCTCCCCGATACCCCCTTCAGCGCGCCGCCCAAGGCTGCCAACCTGCGGGCCGTGGTGGGTCAGCAGGAGGCCAAGCTGGAGGACCAGCACGATCGAAACGGGCACACAAGTCAGAGGTCTTCAGAGAAGGGCATCAGCTCTCTGGGGCTCCAGGCTTCGTTTTAAAAGAAAACCGAGAATCTGGATTGGACCCTGGGCATGCTCTTGGAGCGGGAGGCTGCCGACTTGCGGGCCGTGGTGGGTCAGCAGGGGGCCAAGCTGGAGGATCGGCACGATCGAGACGGTCACGGTTGGACGGAGGCATTTAAGGACCCACCACCCTGTTCAGCCTGGTTTTTGCCTTCGTATTGTTGTTCGTTTCCATGTTCGTTGTTACTTCGTTGTGTTGTTCATCTTGTTGGTAGTTTACCTCAGATATAAGATCGAGATCGGCTCGGGGAGGGTACCATAGTGTTAAGTCGGGCCTGTCCCTCTACAGGAGGGATAACCAAAAATACTTTAGAATATTATGGGGGCGTTGTTTGACAATGTTTGATTACGTTTGAGTATGGTTTGAATATTTTTATTGAATCGCTTCGCTCATTCCGCCGGCCCATACAGTCTCATGTCTGCCGTTTGCCCGAGGGCCTGGTGTCAATGCGGCGCTTTGGGGGTTCTTTTGCCAGGCGTCTCGGGAACCTCTTGGAGGCAGTGTTGAAGCCTCTTGAGGCCCCGTAAGGGCCGTTTGGGGCTCGTTGGGGCTTCTTGTTGGGCTTCTTGGGTGGTTCTTGGGGCGTCTTGGGGGACTTATTGGCGGGATGTTGGTGGCTTCTGAGGTGCTCCTAGGGGCAGAATCCCCCTTTGAGCGCCTCTTGGGCGGTCTTGGTGCTCTCTTGTGCCGTCTTGGGCCGATGTTAGCGGATTGTTGGGCTGTCTCGGGGCGATGTTGGGGGCTATTTGCGTAGTCTGAGGCGCTGTGAAACTCGAAACGCCGTTCATGCGGGAAGTGTACATGTTCCTCTTGGAATGGGACGATTTTTGATTGTAATGGCCGTCTTGGAGGGCCTCTTGAGGCTCTCTTGGGGCTTCTTGGCGGCCTCGACGGCAATGTTGAGGTCATCTTGGGCGATTTGGAACGATTGTTCGGGGACTTGAGGCCGCTTGGATTGTTTCGGGGGCGTTACGGTGCCGTTTTGGCGCGCTCCTGGAGCGTTCTGGGGGCATGAGCCGAACGTCGCGCTCTGGGCGGCGTGCGGAAGCCATTGTGTGAGAGGGCGCGGTGGTGAGAAGAACAACTCACCCCACCCGGCTTTCCAGGCTTTCCGGCGTAAGGACGGCTTCTTCGCGGCACTTGTGAACGTTCCTGGACAGTGCTTTTTGGGCAGGTTCTTGACGCTTGTTGCAAGTCTGTAGGGGCCCCGTTGGGAGTCTACCGAAAGGAGAGCACATTGTAGCATCGCTTGCACTTGCTTGCGTGCTCGGGGGGGCATTTGGGGGGCCTCCTGGGGCCGCTTGGGGGACTCTTGGGGGCCTCCTGAGGGCCTCGTGGGGGCCTCTTGGGGCCTCTTAGGGGCCTCTTGGGGCCTCGTGGGGGCTTCTTAGGGCCGAGGGCTCGAAATGTTGTTTCGTGTTCCCTCTCTGGGGCCCCTTTGGGGGCGTTCTTGGGGCCCTCTTGGACCGTCTTGGAGGCTTCTTGGGCCGTCTTCGAGCCTTCTTGGGCCATCTTGGGGCCCTCTTGGGGGCCTCTTGGGCGTTTTGGGGCGATCTTGGGGGCCTCTTGGGCCGTCTTGGGGCGTCGGGAACCCGAAAAGGTGGAAGCTCCAAAATCTGTCGAAAACCAGAGGAAAAACAATGAATGTTGCCTCCTGGGGCCCTTTTGGGAGTGCTCTTGGAGGCCTCTTGGGGCGTCTGGGGGCTATCTTGGGCGTCTTGAAGCGATCTTGTGGCATGTCGGACCCCTCGTGTACCATCTTGGGGGCCTCTTGGGGACCTCTTGGCCTTTCCTGGGGCTCTCGGGGACGTCTCGGAGCCCTGTTGGTGCGCTCATGGAGCGCTCTGGTGGCTTCGCCCGGGGATCAGCCGGGCTTCGCCCGGGGTACTTTTCGTCTGGGGACCCCCAGGGGCCGCTCCGCGCGCGCGAACTAGAGAATTGTGAACCAGTTACCGGAGATCTTAGCACGCCTCTGGCCCGTTGGGCCGGCGAATTTTTTGTCCAAAATCCGCCTGTAGGGGGACGCGCCCGACTTAACCATAGTGTCCACGGAGCGGGCGGCGGAGAGCGGGAGGCTGCCAGCCCGCGGGACGTGGTGGGTCAACACGAGGCCAAGCTGGAGGATCGGCACGATCGAACGCAGGAGCAGGATCAGGAGGAGCAGGAGGAGGAGCAGGAGCAGGAGCAGGAGCAGGAGGAGGAGGAGGCGGAGGATGAGGCGGGAGGAGGAGGAGGAGGAGGAGGAGGAGGAGGAGGAGGGAGGAGGAGAGGAGGAGGAGGGGAGAGAGAGGCGGGAGGAGCAGGAGAGGAGGCGGGAGGAGGAGGAGGAGGGAGGAGGACTGAGGAGGAGGAGGAGGAGGAGCAGCAGCAGCAGGAGCAGGAGCAGGAGCAGGTGGGGGCGTTGGCTAAGGAAGGCGCCCGGGAGGCCGCAGACCCTGGAGGCACCCCCACCCGAGGACGGCGGCGGTGGTGTCCGTGGCCGGGCTTCGAGGGGGGTGCCGCCGTTCTCCGGACCTTGGACTCCTTGTCTAAAGGGTTCCCTATCCAGTGCCCTCCCACCGTGCAGGCAAGACGCTGAAGGAAGGACCGCCGTGGGCTCGGGAGGGGCCTCGGGTTTGGGGCCGCTCCCCAGGGGAGGAGGAGAACGAGGAGGAGGAGAACGAGGAGGAGGAGGAGGAGGAGGAGGAGGAGGAGGAGGAGGAGGAGGAGGAGGAGGAGTTGTGCCTCGGCGTCTGTTTGTGGCCTGGGCCCGCCGTTGGCCGCGGAGCGGGAGGCTGCCAACTTGCGGGCGGTGCTGCGTCAGCGGGAGGCCCAGCTTGAGGCTCGGCACGATCGTGACGGGCACAGTCGGACCGAGTTATAAGATCGAGGTCGGCTCGGGGAGGGTGCCATTGTGTTCTTCGTGTTTGTTGGAAGCTCTTGTGCTCCCTGGGGAGGGTGCCTTCGAGCGTTCTTCAGCTTGGCTGGCGGAGGGTCCCATGTTCTTGAAGGATGTTCTTGTGTTCTAGGCCTGGCCGTATTCCAGATTTCATGACAAAGGCGGGCCGGTCTGATTACGGGTGGGGTATGGCTTGAGTTGTCTGAGAGGGTTCTGGGGGGGGGTCTGGGCAAAAGCTTCCTTTCATGGCTGTTCTGGGGGGGGGGGGGGGGGGCGAACGTGGCTTGTCTTGTAGGGTTGCGCGCCCATCCCCTCATTATGAAGTCGGAACTATACGGAGAGAGCGGGGACGAGGCTAGACAGCACCTCCCGCCTGTTTTGAGCAGGGCTTGTTGTCGGTGTCCGTTCGATGCAAAACAAATCTCGAAGGAGTGAAAGGTACCCATACCTCTACCCTTCCCTCGTGTGTCCCCTTTTGCGGTGCCTCCTGGGCGGCTCTCGTCGCCACCGTTGGATTCGCCTCGAAATCCTGGTCAGAACGCGCACCCCAGGAGAGGTCTGGGGAGTAGCCGTATCGGTACCAATATTCTCGGCTTTCCCAAGATCGTTTGCCCCCAGCAGCAGCGGCTGTCGGTTTGGGACCACACTTGCAGTTGGGCGTCGTATTCATTTGTCCGTAACCATGTCGGGCCCGCCAAGAGGAAGCGCGGGCGCAGCTGCGGGCGACGCAGGAGGGCATCGACGGGGTGAGGGTCAGGTTCTGCGCCGAGCTGGAGGCGGTCGAGGCCTCTTTCAACCGCGACGTCGCGAAGGTGAAGGCCGCGGGTGAGACCCCGTCGTCCTCGTCGACGTCGTCGTCGTCGTTCTCCTCCTCCTCCTCCTCCTCCTCCTCGTCCTCCTCCTCCTCCTCCTCCTCCTCCTCTTCCTCCTCCCCCCTCGTCTTCCTTTCTCCTCCTCCTCCTCCTCCTCCTCCTGCTCCCTCCTCTTTGTCCTTCCCCGAGGCCGAGGCCGAGGAGGAGAAGGTGGAGTTGCGGGCGCGGATGGAGGCATACAGGGTTGCGCTCGAGGAGATCAAGGGGCAGTTTGCCACTATGAAGGGAGACGTCGCCAAAATGCTGGGGGATCCTTGAGCGAGCTCGCGTCCATTCTCGGAATGCTCAGCGAGCTCGCGCTCAGGAAGGGTGCCCGATGAGAGGGGGCGCGCCCTCGGACGGGCCCGCGGGAGACGTGAGCGGGCACCTCCGCAGAGACCGTCCGGGGGCACCTCTTCGAGCACGCTGCTGGGCGCCTCTCTGGGCCCGCACTGGGCGCCCCGGCGGCGACCCCGGAGGGGCCCGAGCGAGCAATGGGCGCCGTTCGTGGGCGTCCATCTTCGGACGCGCGGCGGGCGCGCCCACCGAGCTCGCGGTGGAGGCATCGGGTCTACACAGCCGTGACAAAAGTTCCTTCAGTTTGCTATGATGAAGATCTCTCCCATCCCTCTCAAGATTCCTAACATGACATGATGCTGGGTCATTCGGCGGAGTAGTTTCCGATCCCGGGGACGTTAATAACTCTGTTACCCCAGAACGGGATCGGAAACTACTCCGCGCCAAACCATATAAATTACCGAGCGGGATGCGATTGCGCGCGGAGTAGTTTTAGTAAAACTACTCCGAACTACTCCGCACGAGCGCGTCATTCCAAAAGGCAAATTGACAGAAACTTTCGTCACGGCGATGTATGGGATTGTCCTCTTTCAGTGTTCTTCCTTGCGGCGCATCATGCTTTTTCAACTCGGCCATGCCTGCTGGCTGTCGACAAGCGCACCCGCCACGGTCAATGCAACGCTATTTGAGAAAATGAGGCCCGATCCAGTGAGCCTGCGTCCGCCACAGAAGGACGAGCACCTATTCATTTTCAGGGCGAACGTCGTCCAAGTAGGCTTCCCCCCTGCAACTGTGGGATGTCAGTTAGTTTTCCTCTGAATCAGGACCGATCGCAGTCGCTGGCGCGTCGGCCGACCAATGCGCGAGAGCGATGCGGAGAAACCGATGTGTTCGAATTTAGCATGAGACCGGGCGTGTCCCCCTACAGGTGGATTTTTCGACGAAAAACCCAAAATAGTCAAAAAGATCCCCAAATGGTCAAAAATTGTCGAACGATCGTCCCAATATGATTTTTGGACTACTTGTGAATTTTCCTCCTGTAGAGGGACGCGCGCGACTTACATTTAGCACCTTGTCCGGCACGAGGATGCAGGGTCTCTGGTCCTCTCGAACGACGACGCGCTCGTCCTTCTCCTGCTTTCTTGTCCTGCTCCTGGTCCTCCTGTCCGTCTCCTGAGATCTGGCGTCGCGACAAAATACAGGGATGCGAAAACACATCATCAACCCGACCCCGCGTGTCTGCGGCACTTCCCAAGCCACAACGAGGGCCCTGGGGCCCGAAGTTGAGCGAAAATGCTCGGTGTGAGAAAACCAATGTTGCCCGGATCCCAGGGCCGCCCCTCTGTCCAGGGGCAACCTTAGGGGGGGACAGGCTCAGGCGGGATTCATCGTCCCCCAATCGCCCACTCATCGTGGATAGGGGGTCGATAGCCCACCCCGCCCAGGAGAGTGCGGATTCGATATCGGATGCTCATCGCCGATCCATCGACGATGCATCGCCGATTCCAGCTCGATGTTCCCCCCCCCTCAGCCAGCCCCCCCTGATCGTTGCCCCTAATCAATACATGACGTGTTTGGTGGATTTGGGATCTCCTGGTCGTCACGTTCAGAGTCTCACTGCAGGCTACACGGTCAGGAACGATTGCTTAGCGCGTCGCGTCGCCAGTTCTGGCCCACCTCAGAGCAGGTCACAGCTCGTGTTCGTTCCGCGGGGCAGAACGACACGCCATCAGCTTGCCGGGCACAGCGTGTTGCAGGGGCCACCGTCGCGACACGCTAATTTTAAGTCGGGCACGTCCCTCTACAGGAGGAACGCGCAACAAATAGTACAGGTTTTGGCGTATTCACAATTTTTCGTCCAAAATCCGCATGTAGGGGGACACGCCCGACCTAACGCTAATCAGATGTACTGGCCGTGGTGTGCAGAGGCTTCTTGTCTTCCTCCAGTGCTGCCAGCAGCCCACGCCTCGAGCGCCGCACGCCCGCGGGGGGGGGGGTGCACACTCCAAAATTTCTTGTTAATCGTCCTCCGGTTTTTTACGGCGCCCTTTTTGTAACTGGGGGGGGGTCCGGTTTACTAGGGCGCTTTCTTTGGATTGGAGCTTGGGGGGTCTGGTTTGGGAAGGCGCCCCGTCGACGAGGGGGGCCCAAGAATCTTAGGTCGCATTTGGAGGGGGGTCCGGTTGTTTTTTGGGTGGGGGGGTGGGTCGATTAATAGGGATTTGGGAGTACCAGCCGGTTGGGGGTCCCGAACATTATCGCATTTGGAGGGGGGTCCTGTTTTTTTTTTGGGGGGGGGGGGGCGATTAATAATAGGGATTTGGAGTAAGAGCCTGGGCCCGCCGGGCGCGCCTGTGAGAGAGCGCAGGCGGCCCAGCCCTGGGATCGAAGCAGCGCCCAGCCCCTGCAGGGGCCGAGCGCGGCCCTCCTCCCCAGGCAGTGCAGCGTGGCGCTTCGGCAATTCGTAGTCGTGGTAGTAGTAGTAGTAGTAGTAGTAGTAGTAGTAGTAGTCAGTAGTAGTAGTAGTCAGTAGTAGTAGTAGTCAGTAGTAGTAGTAGTAGTAGTAGTAGTAGTAGTAGTAGTAGTAGTAGTAGTAGTAGTAGTAGTAGGTAGTAGTTAGTAGTAGTAGTAGTAGTAGTAGTAGTAGTAGTAGTAGTAGTAGTAGTAGTAGTAGTAGTAGTAGTAGTAGTAGTAGTAGTAGTAGTAGTAGTAGTCGTAGTCGTAGTCGTAGTCGTAGTCGTAGTCGTAGTCGTAGTCGTAGTCGTAGTCGTAGTCGTAGTCGTAGTCGTAGTCGTAGTCGTAGTCGTAGTCGTAGTCGTAGTCGTAGTCGTAGTCGTAGTCGTAGTCGTAGTCGTAGTCGTAGTCGTAGTCGTAGTCGTCGTCGTGGTTGTATCAGGAATAGGAGTATTGCCCCAGTGGGGGGGGGGAGGGGCGTCCCTCGGGCGATCGCCAACATGGATCAAGGGGGCGTGGATCAGCGACGGGCCCCGCTTTGCCATGGGAAAGCGCGGCCTGCCGCCGCCGAGCCAGGCGGTACCGGCCCCATTTTGGGAATATAGGGCACCTCCTCCGATCCACGGCTTCGGCGACCGCGTGCCAAGGCCACGGATCGCTAATCCATGGACTTGGCGCGCCCCCGAGCCCCGCAGCAGCGCCCCGGGCGATGTGAGATGCACCGGGTGCCTCGGCCAAGAGTGCCAGCCGGCCAGCAGGTGCCCCACGGAGGTCTCGCAGCCACCGCTGCCCTCGGGGCCCCGGAGAAGCATTGAGGAGGAGAAGCATTGAGGAGGAGGAGGAGGAGGAGGAGGAGGAGGAGGAGGAGGAGGGGGAAAGGAGGTCGTCACCGGATGTGCCCCGAGATTTCTCGGAGGAGGATGCCTTATCGCAGGTGTCTGCTGGGCTGGGGCCCATGCCTGCTCGCGGACGTCGTCGCCGTCGAGGTCGAGATTCCTGGGCCGCCCTCGCCAGAATCTGTTTCCCACGGCAGGGAGCTTCGTTTTTGCCCCGTGTCGCCTCCTCCAGCGTGAAGTCGGGCGTGTCTCTCGACAGGAGGAAGATCCAGACATAGTTGCAAAAATACTAGGGGGACGATCTTGTCACCATGTTTGAGCATGTTTGAATTTGTTTTGCGTTGTTTTCTTTTTTGTAAAAAAAAATCCTCCAACATGTGCCTGTATGGGGACGTGCCCGACCTGACTCTGGCGGCAGACTGGCCCCCCCCGCCCTCGAGGGCCTCGCCCTCGACGCGGGCATAATATCTGCTCCTCTGCCCTGCAGCCCCCCCCCCGCAGAGGGCGCTCCGAGAGAGGGCCTCGCCCCCGATGGGGTCGAGGAGATGACACGAGCTCCCTCTCAAAAAAGAAGTTACACCAAAGAAGAACCCAAATCGGGGGATGGTTTGAAATGTGATCGATAAACTGATAGAGAAGGAGATCGACAGGGAGCCCGGGAATCCGGGAACCCGGAACTGACCCGGAACCAATGACCAGGCACTTGGGATCCCCGCGGAACCGGGAATCCGAGAACCCAGCCGGCCACCAAAATGGGCGGGAGATTTTCGCCACATCTTTCAGCTTCCACTAGGACCCCCTCAGTGCAAGCGCGGATTCGAGACAAACGCCTTAAACATAAACTTTTGGCGCTCTGCGCGGACTTCTTGTTTCCGCGCTGCGACCCCCCGGCGGCGGCTCCAGCGCCGCCCCTAGCGCGCTCCGCGCGCCGGGGGAGGGGAGCCCAGTGCAGATCCAAGAGATCTTTTCGGAGCGCCAGCAGTTTATGGTTGTGGCGTTGGTTCTTCTTCGATCCTCGGAGGCAGCCCGTCTGTCGGGCGCTCCAGGAGTGGGCCTCGTCTTCGAAGCTTCGACGGGTCGAGGAGTTGGCAGCCTTCTCCGCGGCGGAGGCCTTCCAGTGGAGCCTGCCACGCCCTCCCCCGTCGAGGGGCCGAGTCGCTGGAGTTCTCCTCCTCGGCGGAAGGGCCCCAGTTGGGCTTCCCGCGTCGAGTTGCCGAGGAGCTCACACGTGTTCTTGGCCCAGAGGGGGCCTTGCCTTCGGGGATCGAGGGCGTGGCCAGCTCGGGCGGCAGAAGGTCGGCGGAAGTACCACGAGGCCGCCTCCGCCGGCGGAAGCCGGCGGAAGGCTGGCGGAAGCCTCGACGGCTCAAACGATTCTGCGCACGCTCAGGGCGTGCTGGGTCGCAATTCCCAGCCCGACCGATCCCACCGATCTCCCCCCCAGCTCGCGCGTGGCCCATGCGTGTCGGCGCCCAGGAGTGCCTGGTGGGGATCCATTGCTTCCACGTCGGTGAGGTGAGCGCTGGACTACAGCACGATAGTCCTGGACCTGGAGATCTGCCACATCATGCCTATCACGGCCTCCAGGGAGCAAGTGCACTGGGGAGGCAAGCGGGCTCTACGACGGGCTGCTCGTGTTATGCAACTGGACGGACAGGTGTGGTATCATGGCAAGATATATACTCGGGCCAACGCTGCAGCTGTCCTCTCAGACCATAGACGACTCGGGGCCCATGGTCATACTGGACCCACTTGCCTTTCCTAGGTCTTGTGCCCTTGAGCTTTTGAGTTTGAGGGGGGCGGCCTCCCTGCCCCAGATGGGGACAATCGTGCCGCTCTCACAGTGCCACCTCCGCACGGGCGGGGGCGCGTGAGGGTGGGGTGGCGGCCTCTGCGCCAGTTCCCGCACGCGTACCCGTCAGTGGGCCCACCGTTCGGAATATAGGCTTTCGGATGCGCCGAGATCGGTAGGTTTTTACTTAGGCCCCTCACGAAGCGTCCTTTCCTGGAGGTTCCTGGGCGCAGTGGTTGAAACAGGAAGGCTGTCGGCAGGCGGCGGAAGTAAAAGGTGCGCCCCCAGGAGATGAAAACCATTTTGGGTCCAGGGTTTCCGGGATGCGCCACACATTCTCGTCCTTGGCGGCAGCCATCGAGCGGGGCGTTGCCTCAGAGGGCCTCGCACCCGCAACGCCGAGGAGTCTGCGTAGTTTCTCCTCCTCGGCGGCAGCGGAAGCTGACCACTTGGGCCCCCTTGCGATATGCTGTCGCGTGCTATGCCCACACGAGATGGCCTCGCATGTCATCGCACATCATCCGGTGCGCTCTGGTGCCCGTGCGAGATGGTCTGGCAATGCGCTGCCCGGTGCGCGCACTGTGTTGTGCGAGAGGGGAGGGGGGAGACCTGAGGAGCAGGCCCAGGCGGGCCGCGCGTTTGGTTGCTGCGCAGGTTCCCCAGAACGTCGTCGTCGCCGCCGTCAATGTCGTCGTCGTCATCATCATATTTATCATCATCATGGCCACCGTCATCTTCATTATCATCATCATCTTCATCATCATCAACATCAACAGCAGCATCATCATCGGAATCAACATCATCAGCATCAGCATCCTCACCGCCATCACCATCACCATCACCACAACTCGCCCGTTTTGCACTGACTGCGTAGTGCCCAGCGGTGCACACCCGCGCTCGAAGCGGGCAGAGGACTCCCGTACTGCCCCTCGAAGTCCCCCTTTGGGCTACGTTTTCTATTTGTTTTGTTTGTTGCGGTTTCTTGTGTAACACATGTTTTAACATTTACATACAGGCATACATGGTGAGGTTTACACCGTATTGCTTTAAGAGAAGAGGTTTAGTAACATATGTGTGTATACATTAAAAAGAAATAAACAGATGGCGACACA